TGACTTGCACTCCGAACGAAAGAAGAAGCGAAGAGCGGTGCTGGTGCTGTGTCCGTGTCGCTGCCATGATGGGCCTCAAGCCCTTGCCTAATGGTCAAGTCAACGCCAACCGCAAGAACGCTGTGCACGTTGTAGTGTAATTCATCGCATTACATGAAATACCTTTGCATGTGATGTTGGACCTCCAATTTTTCGTGCACACCTGGTTGTGGATTCCTAAAATGTCGGACTCGCGTTAATTTCAAAAATGGTCACTGACAGTTACGCACAACTGTATAATTGCATTACCTGTCTGGATTTCATATTTAACTGCTGAAATTACATAACCTAACCACACAAAAAATATGCAAATGGGTATACAAACTTTAAGCTAATTGTGTGCACCAATAACTGGTTCTCACTTTTTGAGTACATTTGCTTCGAAAATGGTATTTATGTCTGTCAAATAGACCGTGAAACACAATTATTTGAATGTCCAATGAATCAACTCCGCTTTGGCCTCATCCAGCACTTTTCGGAATTTGAATCTAATACATCCATGCTGAGCTTCGTTCCTTCCACCGCAGCATCTCGGAAAAAGTGTTCTTAAATTGGTTTTCTACGTTACGTAGTTCTACTCTGGTCCGCACAAATGTATCGACTTTTATTTTTTACTTGATTAAAGTATACTACTTAGAAAAAACGACGCGTAATATAATGTATTTATCATATTATAGAGGTTTATACACCCAAAATGGGTGAAATCGTCAGTTGTCAAGCAGCCTTACTGAAAGAAGGGCTTTTGTCGAGCCAAGACTCGTTGTACGGGTACACCATCAATATATAACTTGTAGATATATAGGATTGGAACAAGTTACCAAGAGATGGTCACATTTTACGATACTGTTGGCACCATAGAGTGTGCTATGTACAATTATTGGGGGATTCACGGGTGCTTGGGTTACTTGCGCGTGCTTAGGTGCGATTCGACGCAGTCCAACATCAACATCACTTCTGGATTATTCCATCCCTTCCCACGTCCTTTTCCTTTCGGCGCCATGCTGACAGTGATGTTCAAATGCTGGAATTGTGTCGTACATCAATCTCGGCACAAATTCTAGCCAATAGGGAGTCCCAAAAAAGTGAAAACAATAGAAACTTTTAGCAAGTGCGAAATCTTGACTTTCCAGACTTAAACTTCGATTCGAACTTCGAAGCTTGCAGACTTTGCTCGGAAACAGGTCTGAAAAGTGAGGAAGTCATCACACTTTTGGCTCCCAACAGCCACGACCACCTCTATCTCGGCCAATACTGGTCCAAATTCACTCATTCTTCGCCTGGCCCCACCGCTGAGTGCCGTACTCAGAGTTGGGACCAGTACCGTAGATGCATCCGTGGCCTTGTCATCTCTCGGACGTGCTACATGACAGGCGTCAATTATCCCAACAGCCACAACCACCTCTATCTCGGCCAATACTGGTCCAAATTCACTCATTCTTCGCCTGGCCCCACCGCTGAGTGCCGTACTCAGAGTTGGGACCAGTACCGTAGATGCATCCGTGGCCTTGTCATCTCTCGGACGTGCTACATGACAGGCGTCAATTATCCCAACAGCCACAACCACCTCTATCTCGGCCAATACTGGTCCAAATTCACTCATTCTTCGCCTGGCCCCGTCGCTGAGTACTATTCATTGATAGTCTGTCCTTCAAGAAACCTCTAGCAATGCATCAACATGTAAAAGTTTTCAAAGCGCCGTTAATACTAGAAAAGTTGCCAAATCGAAATATTTCATTTTTCGAAATTTTGTGCGTCCTTGGATGCCGCCAAAGTTCAAAAATTTATGGCACAATTTACTTGAGAATCGGGTGATTTGTGGTATAATCAAAATGGACCGATTCGGTCCAACTTATTAGGGAGGTTTGCGTTTACGTGAAGTCTTGCACTTCACAGTCAATCGGAAATTGAATAGTAAGTTTTCAATAATTCAACTGGCATCCAGACAACTTTATAGAAGGGAGGGAAAATAGATCAGTGGTAGAGCATTGGTTTCTTAACTCAAAGGTTGTCGGTTCGATCCCCGGCCTTCCCCGTAAGGATTTATCCGTCCCTCCCGTGGGGGATCCGGATAACAAGGGATGCGTACGAAGACGAGGGCCGAACTTCGGAGAAGCTCGGTCGAAGCACGAGGTATGAAGCATTAAGCGAAGTAAAAATAAAACCGAAGATTACACACCACCCCTGGTCGAGCAGGCGCGTTGCAATTGGCGAAGCGGTTCCATAACATATGGTTCTAGTACGAGCGCGAGCATCGTCACGTAAGGAAGTTACACCACAAAAAATTACAGTACGGTTGACACTTTAATCATGGCGACATGACCTTGGCATTTTGGTGCTGCTGTTGCTATCATCCTTCTATTCATAGTAAATGTCAAGAGGGACGATAAAGGGGGTAGCACTGGGGAGGAACGACGACGAAGAACACTTGTGTGGTCGAGGGCAAAACTAAAGATGATCATTAACGGACTGTTTAGCTGACCTATGATTGGGCATAAACAGTCCGGTTTCTACAGAAAGAGAACACCGGATAATTCCGGATGACCGGATATTATCCGTAAGTGACCGAACCTCGGCGAAAAAGGCCAAAGCACGCACCAAAGTGCCCTTCTTGACAGCCACCCCACTGGGCAACGGACTGCTGAAGGCCTTCGAGACGAAGTTCTCAAAGAGAGGCAATGCCAAAGGCAAAAAGGGCTTAGCGAAAAATTCGCGGAGGCCAAAAAGTGCCGAAGGTATGTCACTACAAAAGCCACCCTGAGAACAGAGGCGCAAAAGGTAGGACAGAACACACACAAAAAATAGTGTTGAGGACATAAGTGCATAGTTACTCATAGAGTAAGGCAAATGCCTAAGGTAATGCATAAATGCAAGGATGCTCAAAGAGCAAGGGTGCTCGAAGAGCATGGTAAATACCATAAAGTGCATATATGCAACGAAGAATAAGACAGTGTGGCTAAAAATAGCGGGTAAAAACCCAAGTAAAATTGCCAGAAGCAAAAGTACAAAGAAATACTCAGAGAGTAAGGATACATCCAAGTAAATGTGCCAGAAGCAAAAGTACAAGTAAGACTCAGAGAGTAGTGGTATAAACCCATGAAGTGCAAGTAGGATGGACGGGGGCGTGGGAGCACCATGTAGAAACTTCCACAAACCATGACGCCACTCGTACGGCCGATCCTTGAGCAGCGCCGCTGGCCAGACGAGACCGCCGACTTCAAAACGGCACGAGCAGACATAGAGTGCACAAGTCGCCCCATGGTCGAGGGCGAAAATGAAGGCGGTGAATGAAAAGTTTGTGCTTAGAAAGCAGGTGCAAATAATGCATGATAAATATCAATAACAGCCATAAAGGCTTAAAAATAAAGTAAACGCAATGCCATAGGCAAGGGTCACTCGGGTACACGGCCACAAAGGTAGTCACCAAGGGCATAGAGTCGCAGAGCGAGGCAGAACCTGCGAAACGCAG